TTATCTAAAAATTTAGCTAGATTATTTAGTCACGTTAAAAACGTGGCTAATTTTAAAAAACAAGCTGGGGTCAAGATCCCCCACCCAACACACACACACAATGCTGGTGGCAGACTCATAATTTTTTTATGATATGGTAGAAACAAAATATTAAAATTACAAATATTATTAATGGGAAAAAAATTCTGTTTTTGTTGTAAAAAAAATTTCTATGTTACACTGACATAAAAGTGAGTGAGTCTCATTATAAAGAGAAGAGAGAGAAAAGAATAATGAGATTCACTCACTTTTGTGTGAATGTGACAGATCAATTTTTTCTGCAATAAAAACAAAAATATTAAACTTATTATTAATACTAATAAGAGAGACTAAATATTATAAGTGTTTGTGATGGAGAGATTAATTATTAACATTAATAGTCTATTATTGTTCAAGAAAATATAATTTTATATGCATATAATAAAAAAATTCAAAGTTTAGCTGTGTTTGGTAGAGTAGGAAATTTTTTTTTATGAGAGAAATACGATTACTAGGAATATGGTGAAAAAATGAGTTTGGTGAAAAAAGTTAAAAATAAAGTTGTTTGGTATGCCGAAATATTACGGAAAAATTGAGTTAAATTTTGTAAGTTTATGTTTGGTTAAAGGTAAAATATTGATGAGAAAATGAGTTAAAAAGACTAAAATAACCCTAATAACCCTTGTATAAAGTATGAATGATGGTGCTTCGACATTGGTTGCAACGTCAAAGAACCGTGTTATTTTCTTGATCTTCTTGTCATTTAGTCAGTTAACTACATATACCATCTTAGAAGTGGTATTTGAGAACAGTGCTTTTATCCCATTTTTCAAACATTTTGCAAAGGCTAAACAAATAAGTTTGTTGGGAAAATATTTGAATACCTTATACCAAATATGGACTATAGAAAATATCAAAATCAGATGCATGCGTATCTTTTGTGAACTCTTATGTCAAACACTACCTTAGATAATTCGCATCCTTTCCTTTGGGCCGCTCTTGCTTGGCACAGTATAACCCCTATTCTTTTAATGTAATACACTAATACCAATCGAGTCAAAATCGGGTTATTGTATCTCCAATTAGATATCAAAGTACTCAAACTAGTGGGAGGAAAGAATATGGCCCTTCGCCAAGTCATGTTTTAAAATTAGTTACAATGATTGTACAATTTAATATTTTTTGAGTATCAACAATAATGACCCGTCGGTGAATCTCAGCTAATAAATGGGTGACAGTAATCATGACATGCCTCACTTATTGGCGCAAGAAATGAGTACCTTGCCCACTAACATGTCATAGCACAGGGTCATCACAAAGCTAAATTGGCTATGCTCTTCTAAAGATATATATATGTTGAAACCACAATCCATGATCAGGCCTTGGTATACCCCATCCTAGTGGTAAATATATACAAATATGGTTTGGGTTCAAAATACTTTACAAGGTTAGAATTCTATGTTCTTCGATGGAGAAAGCTTTTTAGCTTTGACTATATATTGTTAAGTCATAACTCAGAAACCACTTTATCGGCTTCAATTCTTCCCTTGGCAATTGGCGCTGGACTATTGATCCAAGTAGGAACTGTTAAAATGCATAGAGAAGCTTTTCTAGTTGATCTATAATTCTATATGACCCCCAAAACCAAAACACATCTTTGCTCATAGAATCGAGAAGTATTTTAGACCCAAAAGAGTCCTGGTCTATTTGTTAGCTATCTTCTCATTAAATTGATACAAAAACCATGGTAAAGGGCCCCTTTGCTAAGATGCCGAGCCCTGAGCTCAAGCCCAACTCAAGTTGTAAAGAGTGGCCTTTTAGTATTGGATTTGGTCTGTTTAATACTCTACATTTTTAAAAGTGATGTTAATGATATAAAATAAAATATCTTTTAGTTAGGGATGAATTAGTTAATTTTTACTTTAAATAAATTTAAAAGAAATGTTAATTTTTACTTTAAAGAATTACTTTAAAAATTAATTTAATAACTAATTTTGTTTGAATGCATAAAATAAAATCATTTTTGATTAGGGATAAATTAATTCCTTATTAAATAGTCAATATTTACTTATTTTACATATTAAATTCAATATAATATATATATATATGGCAGGATTATTTGACAACACAATTGAATTATCAATCTTACCATCATTATTTATTGATAATTAATAATTAATTAATACGTATCATTTAATAAATTACATAAATATATGATCCAAAATTTTCATGCGTACATACGTACGTACATGTGTGACCAAACACCCAATTTTTTATGTCTAGTATCTTATGATTCTTACATCAAATTAATAGTGCTTAATTAAATACGGGTATTAAGAATAGAAGTAGATAAATAAGACCATTACATTGACAGAAAAAAAGTATATAACAAGTTCAAATGGAATCGAAGTTAGAGTATTGTCCTATTCAAAATCATATAAATCGTGCGCTTGAGGATCATTTTACGCCGGTACAAAATCATATGTTTATGTCTAAAAATCATATAATTTACACTCTAAATCTTGATTATTTATCATATTTATATTTAACAATTTTGATTTATTACAAATTTGAGCTGTTAGATACAAAAAGATCAATGATCAAGATTTGATATAAGACTTCTTATTCTTATATCAGTGTAAGAATATTTTGCCCATATATATATATATATATATATATGGGGAGGGATCTTTTAACTCCGGTACAAGACTTACAAGTCTTACTGCCCATCTCAACCGTTAATTTTTATCCATAACCAGGACTCTTACTCCCTATCTCTCAATCTCTCCCGCTCACACACACACACACACACACACATATATATATATATATATATATATATATGAAGTTTACATTTATGCAGCTGCTGTACGTGTAACAATCAAATACTTGCCATATTCATATAGTCGAAAACATTAAATGCGGGGAATCATAACCATACAAACGATGAAAGCATTAAATGTAGGAAATTATAACAATACACCTGTCGTTGCTGTACGTAAAGGGGCTGCAGAAATAATTTTACCTATATATATATATATATATATATATATATATATATATATATATGAGATAAGATCCTTTGACATCAGTGTCAAATTTGAAATTTGACACCTAATCTAAGAATCATTAGATCAAAAAAGTTCTTAAAAATCTTAATATAAGAAGAAAAATTAGTCGGGTCTTGAATAGTCTTCATAAAGTACAAAATCAATCATGTAGTAATGTATGGGAAATGTATTTGTCATGTTACATGATAAATGAATAGTTGTTATGTTAAGAAAAAGATAAATTATATAATATTAAAAAAGTGAAAGGACACATTATTCAATAAATTTATCTTGTTTTTTCTTTAACATAACAATTATTCATTTGTTATGTAACATAATAAATGCATTTTTCTTAATGTATAGACAAAAATGTGTTTAGGTGGCAGCATTGAGAAGTGGACCACACACAAGGGTTTCTCCAAAAATTGTTTATCATTGATTCACTTAATTTACCATTTTCTTATTTTTTAAGTTACTATTGAGACTCTCTTAAGTTCTAAAATAACACGCAAAATCGTTATAAAAAATCTAAAATAAAATCTGTTATGATTATAAATTAAATTTATTCAATTTGAATTTAAAAATGATCATAAAAAATTCAAGAAATGTTCAAGGTTAGAAAATTTTGATTTTACTTATAATTCAAGTAAATTTATATCAATACTTTGAAAGGTTAGATGAGAATTAACTAACCCCATTTCTCATGTTTATCACTTTTCTTTTCTTTTCTGATAACATGTTTATCACTTGTATATTGGTCAAGAATGCTAGTCCAAATGCAAGATGGATACCTGACGTCATAGTACCAAAATTGGCACGGTCAAATTTGAAGATAACAAACAAATGGTTAATATAGTTAAGAAGTTGTGCTATCTAATAAACACCTGAAAAATTCAGTTAGTTATAGAATAGCCATTGATTTGTCTTTTCCCTTCATCCCATTTATCTCTCCGTTATTATCATCATGAAAACAAATAGGTTTTATTAAGTAGTAAAAATCAAATAAATTATTTATTTATTTATTTGCATATTAGAAGTTTAAATAGATGATGCAAAAGATTCACGTGTCTAACAGTGCTGCACGTATTGTCCACGTCTTTGTAAGAATTGTTGAATAATCCGAAGTTTGAAAAGATAATAACTTCTTTGGTTGTTGGATAAGCCTTAGACTTATATAGAAATTTATTTAATAAAAAGGTTTCATGTTTTAATTTAAAAATTTGGTCTTAAAGTCCGTCGAACTGGCATATTAACTCTTTTTTATTTTATTTTTTATATTAACCTAATTTTTACCCTCATCGTCGCGTCTAACTCACTCAAGCCATCAAGCAATCGTTCTCCATCAAAGTCATTTTCAAGCATTTCACCTTTCTGTCTTGTTGAAGGTCGCTCTTCGTCGGATCCTTCAAGGATGCTATCGCTTGGAACTGTGACATGCTCGCCGATTAGCAACGTTTATTTACAAGGATCGAATTCTTAAGGACGATCAAACCTTCTAAATTTACGATATACGCGCGATCTTGCTATTATTGATATATTTTTACGTTGATCATATATTTTATTTGTTAATCATATATTCTATTTTGATAAATTTTTATTTTCTTATTTCTTTTTAATAGGCCAAGTCATGCTTTTTTGTAAATAATTCAGATCACAAGCTGATAATTATATTCATAACATGTTATAGGTTAGGCTAGTTTGACATATTTAAATACAGACTTAACCTATTAAAATCAAAGTCCGACTCAGCTCGACCCGTTAACATGATTTGTGTTATAATATTTCCTTATGTATTAAAAGAAAAAAAATTAAGAGCGTGTGGGATTATACAAATTACTAAAATAAGAAGAGTAGACGCGGTAAATAGTTGTAAACTTAGACTCAAACAAACCATCCATTTCCAATAAGAGAGAAGAAGACGCATCAGCTGAACAAAAACGACATAAAGAAAAGCGAGAATACATAGCAGAGAGAGAGAGAAAGAGAAGGAGGGGGGTAATAATAAAAACAATTCTAGGGTTTCCGAATCATCATTCCCTCCAAATCAAACACTCGCGTTCTTTCATTCATCCCAAGAAAACGGGTTCACCCCCCCCCCCCCCCCCCCCTTCTCCATTTGTCAACCACACTTCTTCAAGGTCATTCTTCCTCTTCCAAATTTCTTTCTTTTTTTTTTTTTTTTTAAAAATATCCCTCATTTATTCTGTAGATAAAGTTTTCCTCTATGAATTATTAGGTTTTGAGCTTTTTTAAAGCAAAAGGTGAAAACAGAAGGATCAAATTTTGTCCATGTTTATTATTCCTTGGAATATTTCTCTCTTTGCAGAAGTGGTTTATTTTATTGTTGTTATGATAATAATATTAATATAATAATATGGTTTCATACGTTATTTATTTGTTAATAGGTTTGTGGTCTGAATGGTTGATCCAAGGGAGAAGGTGCTTGGCATGGAGGGAGGGGAAGAGAATGCCTGTGACATATCTTTTGTTACTGGATTCTTCATTTGTTGAAACCATTGGTGAATTTTGTTTTTTGTTTTTCAAAATTGTTCCGGGTTTGAATGCATATTGATTTATGGATTCGGAATCTTCGGGCGATTCTGTAAAACGTTACAAATGCTGTGATTGCGATTGCGGGTGTGATTGCTCTCCTTCCGCAGGGGATTGGCTCCGTTCTGTGAAACGGAAGCATGATGAATCGAAACAGGAAAGCCAATTCTCTGTGCCCGGGTTGGACTGCGACCCGGTTGCTCGTGTGGAAATTGGGAATGAATGTGCTGCATTACGCCAGGCTGTTAGCAGACAACAAGAAGCTATACAGGATTTGTATGCTGAATTGGAGGAGGAGAGGAATGCGGCGTCTTCGGCCGCCAATGAGGCCATGTCAATGATATTGAGGTTACAGAGGGAGAAGGCAGAACTTCAGATGGAAGCGCGTCAATTCAAGCGATTCGTGGAGGAGAGGGTGTCGCATGATCAGCAGGAGCTTTTGGTGTTGGAGGATTTGTTGTATAAGAGAGAACAGGCAATTCAGGCACTCACGTGTGAAGTTCAGGCTTATAAGCATAGGTTGATGAGTCTTGGCCTTACTGAGTCAGAGACAGAGGTTGATCAGTATGAATTTCCCCCTTATGAGTACCCTCCTTTGAGATGTAATGTAATGCATGCTGGGGATTCTGATAATGATGACACAGATGTTGAGAAATATGTGTTTGGCGAAACTCCTAAGGACCGTTTGAGGAGCATAGAAAATAGGATATCTCAAATGGAGAGAACTCCCACTTATAGCCAGATGGATGGGGATTTCACAGGAAAAAATATTCTAGAGAAGGTGGTAGTTGGGCAGTCTCCGAGACGGACTAAACATTCCAGGAAATTTTCCTGTGAATCAACATTATTAGGCCCTGAGTTTATGGATTCTCCCAAGCTCAATGGTAGCTTTAGGAAGATGGATTATGTCTTGCAGTCAGAGGACTATTCCAATTCAAAGAAGGTAGATAATGCATCAGAAGATGGTGATGATGTGAGTGACAGAATCTATACAATTGACTCTGAGTTCAAAGCTGGAGCTGGTGTCTATGATAATTATGCAACCACTCCAAGGGATTTAGGGGCAGAATTTGAAGATCCATACACAAAGAAGCTTTATATGAGGCTTCAAGCACTTGAGGCCGATAGGGAATCAATGAGGCAGGCAATCATTTCAATGCGCACTGATAAGGCACAGCTTGTTTTACTTAAGGAAATAGCTCAACATTTGTCCAAAGAGATGTCACCCCAAAGAAGAATGGCAGTTAGAAAGCCATCCTTTGTTGGCAGCTTGTCATTCTTGACAGTTTTTAAGGTAATTTAAAAACAGACAGTGTCTTAATCGTATTTAAATTTGCCCATTTTTTAGCAAGGTTCCACAAGATAATCTCTACCCATTTCATTCATCTCATGACTAAAGATTTTGATGGCAGCACTTATGCTATTTCATCTTTCTTTTTGTGTTCAGTGGATCACATCAATTGTTTTCTGGAGAAAGAAAGCTCATCAAATCAAGTAAGTAGCTAGTAGCTACAATCTTTGTTTGAAAAATTCGTGGACCACACCTAGTGGATAAGGCTTGGTTGTTGTTGTTGAAGTGTGTACTCTGTTGAAGTGAGCAAAATCAAGCATAATTTTCGCAACCTCCTTAACCAGAAATCATCTAAAGAAAACAATAATTTACAATTCAAGCAGCCTTTGCTCATAATGCTTAATGCTTCCAAAAAAAAATAAAAAATAAAAAATGTAAAATTGATCCAGGCAATCTATATTTCTGAAGGTTCATTGTTTTCCTGTGAAATTTCACTTCAGTGGCCTTTGATGTTGGATGTGTTTAAGCATACTTATTAAATGTTGGACATAGTCATAATCTCTTAAAAATATTATTTTCTGGTTTGCACAACACCAACATTGAGTGTAATAATCTTTGAATGATAATAATGTTGGATAATTAAGTTCAAGGGGAACAAAATCTCTTATGAATTTCTATGGTAGAACTTTTCTGGTTGTCTCTGAGAATTGGTGATTGCATACTGATATAGTCCTCCCAAAACAGGCATTTTATTCAAATAACAAATTCACTGTGTTGTGTTTACTAATTATGATGATATTTATGACACTTGCAGGATAAGTTTAGAGGGTAAATTGTTGTTTTTAACCAAGTCGCAAACAGAAAAATTGGTTAAGGGAATCCTTTATTGATCGTTTGACCAGAAATTATCCATCATCTGAACTGTTTGTTACTGTAGGTATATGTTCGGGCTACCATCTGACAGTGCCGGCTTGCTAATGCTACTTGACAAGGGACCCCATTTAAGGTCATGGAGATATCTTTCAAGGACACAAGTGGTGGGAGATTAGTTCCCCTATTCCTGTGTTAGCTTGCAGGGTTGGCTCGTATGTGGGAGCACCGAGTCTTTATCACACTATACAATGAGACTTTTTCTTTCTACTTTTTTCCCCTAGATTTTTCTCGCCTAAGAAGTGATATTTTGTGCAGTGTTCTTTCATTTCATTTTTATTAAATTGAATTTAATTCGTTGGTTGATTGGCGAAACTTGGATATGATTTGACATTTGAGCGTTCTCGCTCGTATGGTTTTTTGAAGTTGAGCCGAGGTACATGTCTGTGGACAGTCCTCTCCTGTACATGACATAATGTAAGGGTCTTCACTCTTAATATAGTACCTATTTTTTTCTGAAGTTCAATCCTTGAGAGTGGAAGCGTTGTTTGTTGAATAGATGTATTGTGTTAGGTATATTTTGTTAATATATAAGGTTTATAACTTTGACCAAGGAATGTGGGCAAAACCAATTGGTAGCTGCTCTTTCCTTGACCCATTTTGTTCAAGTCATGAGTCATGACCCTCAGGTTATTCTGTTTGTGGGAAAGAACTCAATGCTTGACCAAAAAAGTTCAAAAAAATGAGGTGAAGCCGTGCGTTTGATTATTATCAGAAGGAAAAGCAAAGGCAAAAATAGGTGATAATTAATTGAATTTTCCGTATCTTCACTTTGCCTGAGTTTATAACTTGAGATGATGTTACTTTTTTTAGCATTAAATTAGCGAGTGTTAATATCATGAAACTAGAGTGGATGGGTTTGTAGTCGTTAACTATCACGTTGGATGACACGGCATTTGCCCTGATATTAAAGCCAAGTTTGGTGAATTTTTTGCTTTTTCTCCTTTTACTTCTAAGTTTTGAGGTGTATTGAGTGTTTCTGCGGTAACTCGTGAACGTGACAACTGACAAGGAAGAACAAGGTTTAATGAGTGACTGTACGCACTTTTTTTTTTTTACTGACTGAAGTGTAGAGATTACAAAAGAAACTAAAGAGATCTTTTTGGCTCATATTATGGGTTTTATTCTTTTGATGAGGTTGAACATGGAACTAGTTGGATTTAGTTTAAAGCAGACGAAATGTGCAAAAAGGAAACATACAAACCAAACACAATTTTTATTTTTTTGCACGTTTTGTCTGCTTTTGGAGATGTAAAACGTTCACTCCTAACCCAATTTTTCAAGCAATGACATTTCTTGAGTACGTCATTGTGACTTTAGAATTCTTGCTCTGTCTTGCTATCAGATTTTATCTTGCACAATATTGATTACTGTAATCTGATTTTGCTGAGTCTTAAAAGTGTAAAAATATATATACACTTTAAAAAATTATAAAATCTTATGATTATAATTTTTATGGTTTAATAATATATATACATCGGCAATCAGCTTCTCAAGGAGAAAAATTTTCCTGTTAATCCTTCGATTAACGTGTTGGTTTTTTTTTTTAAACTTGTAGTCCCACATCTTTTTTCCCTTTTTATATATTTCTCCATATATATATATATATATATATATATATATATATATATATATATATATATATATATATATATATATATATGGGGCAGATCCTTTGACACCGGTGTCAAATTTTGAAATTTGACACCAAATCCTAACCGTTGATTTCCGCCAATCAACGGTTATCATTTATTGGGAATTACACTTATTAATTAATCATTAATTACCAATAAATGATAACCGTTGATTGGCGAAAATCAACGGTTAGGATTTGGTGTCAAATTTCAAAATTTGACACTGGTGTCAATGGATCCTATCCCTATAGATATATATATAGAGAGAGATAAGATCTTTTGACACCAGTGTCAAATTTGAAATTTGACACCTCATCTGAGAGCCATTGGATCAAAAAAGATCAATGACTCTGATTTGTAAGCATGTGACACCATTGATCTTTTTTGATCCAATGGCTCTCAGATGAGGTGTCAAATTTCAAATTTGACACTGGTGTCAAAGGATCCTACCTCATATATATAGGACAAGATTTTTTTTTGAAATATTCTGATCGGTTCATTGTTCGCAACTAATCCGATTCGGGGCGGGTCCAGGATTAAGGCTTTAAACCCCTCCCAAATGTGGTACTGGGGAGATTCGAACACATGCTCTCAACCCCACCTGCTTAGCTCCCATGCGTCAACTGAGCTATCACCATTTGGTATAGGACAAGATTCTTTGACACCGATGACAAACTTTAAAATTTGGCATCAAATTTTAATCGTTGATTTCTGTCAGTCAACAGCTATCATATATTTGAATTGAATAATTAATCAATAAGTTTGATTGACAAAAATCATAACCGTTGATGGACCGGAATTAATAGTTAGGATTTGGTGTCAAATTTTAAAGTTTGACACTAGTATCAAAGGATCTTCTATATATATGAGATAAAATCATTTGACACCGGTATCAAGCTTTGAGATTTGACACCAAATCCTAATTGTTGATTTCCGTCAATCAAAATTATTAATTAATTATTAATTTTCAATAAATGATAGTCATTGATTGTTGATTGACAGAAATCAACGGTTAAAATTTTATGTCAAATTTCAAAATTTGAACCGGTATCAAAGGATCCTAACATATATATATAGGTAGGTAGGTGAAATTATTTCTACAACTGCTATACGTACAACAATTAAATTTAAACCATTGATTGGTTATGATTCCTTACATTTAATGTGATCACCCACCTTTGTAAGGTTAAGATTCTCCAAATTTAATTGCTGCACATACAGCAGCCGTAGATTACTTGAAACCCACACACACACACACATATATATAGTGGTTTACACTTTACATTTCTGCAGCTGCTATACGTGCAAGAATCAAATCTTGCCATATATATACTTGAAATTATTAAATGCGAGTAATCAGGCTTTTTTACTCTTATAACCCTTTATTATTAATTAATTACCGATTTGACCTTGATTATAAACTATTTCAAAAATTTAACCCTCTCAAAAAACATAACACCAATCTGCCCCTGTTTGACCGTTGACCACCAAGCCTACCCGGGTACACCCCTCTGTACTCGGGTATTTTTTGAAAATTTTTGTCTACCCGGGTAGGGAGGCGTGTACCCGGGTATTGTTCTTCGCACCTGAGAAATTGCTTGAATTATTTACCCGGGTAGAGAGGGGTGTACCCGGGTAAATCTTCGACCACCCGGGTATGATTACTCTTTGGATCTCCCATGCACTCTTCTTCTCCAAGCTTTGAATATAGAGGCACCCACTATCACATGCTCCGCCTCTGCAACTTTTTTGGGTCTGTAAAGCACACAAATATTTTTCAATGATTATTTTAGAAAGGGAATTCTCAGTTAACACTATAAAAGTAGACCCCATCATAATCGATACGAACAGGGACCGCTTTGATGAGCAGTAAAATGTTGATGTATGGAAATTCCAAATCTATTCTCAAAGCTAAAAGCTCTTCAAATTGGTTAGGCATGCTTAACTTGATAATACTGATCTATCTCATTAGCTGTAAAAAAGAGAGAAAAAAAAATTACCATGAAACAATTAATTACACATCCGCAAATATAATTAACTTGTGGTAAAAACAAATAAATCATATCTGTTCTTATATCCATCAGCTACAAGTTGCCCCAGTTATAGCAAGTACCAAATGGGTGGTCGAAGATTTACCCGGGTACACCCCTCCCTACCCGGGTAAATAATTCAAGCAATTTCTCAGGTACGAAGAACAATACCCGGGTACACTCCTCCTTACCCGGGTAGACAAAAATTTTCAAAAAATACCCGGGTACAGAGGGGTGTACCCGGGTAGGCTTGGTGGTCAACGGTCAAACAGGGGCAGATTGGTGTTATGTTTTTTGAGGGGGTTAAATTTTTGAAATAGTTTATAATCAAGGTCAAATCGGTAATTAGTTAATAATAAAGGGTTATAAGGGTCAAAAAGCCCGAGTAATCATAATCATACAAAAGATAAAAACATTAAATGTGGAAAATCATAACCATACATTTGTTGTACGTAAAGCGACTGTAGAAATAATTTTATCATATATATATATATATAAACTATCGCATTACCATACAAAAATTAAAGGAAATATTTAATTCGGTTCTTAAAAATTGGGTTGAGATCACATTAATACTTGAAATATTTGTAACATTAATTTTGTACTTCAAACATAGAATATGTACAAACTACCAAATTGAGGCATTAAATTAATGTCTTTTATTATCAAGAAATTAAATTGATAGCAACTTTTTATGATTGATGGACTTAATTAATGCCTTTTTATATTATTAAAAGTCTAAATTTATGTTAAGTTCTAAAAATAAAATAAAATTAATGTCAACTCAAAAAACAACATTATAGTTTCCTTCAAAAATAAAAACAACAATGCACCTTCTTGAACTTGTTACGTTCTAGACATTGTAATTTTCTAAAATACACAATATCTACATTTACTTGAATGTCATTAAAACACAGTTATTAGCAGTTTCCTTTTGCATCAAACATATAGCACTAAAAAAGAGTGATCAATTACTGAAATTTCTAATGTGCCAAACATATACCACAAACTTCACAATCATATGATTTTCTAATGTTTCATAAGAAAACAGAAATTTCTAATATATCAAATAAATATTTAATTAATTATATACATGTTTATATATATATAAGGGAAAAAATATCTAATGTTACTTTAGACAATTTTGTCTAATTTCACCGAAACGACGTCGTTTTAGGTTGAAAAATTAAAAAATTAGAATAATAAAGACTATTATAATCCGGTGAACATTACAAAGTTGTCTAAAGTAACTTTAAGAAAAATGAACTCATATATATATATATATATATGTATATATATATATATATATATATATATATATATATATATATATTCTTAAGTTATCTATCCCAACAATTTAAAGAGTGTGAAAAAAATGAATATTTTATTTTTGTAATTCTTAAATTGTTTTCTTCATTTGCTTTTCTAGTATGGCAGACCAGAATCTTGTTTATAAACATAAACTTTTCAAAATGGTACACAATCGATAACCGCAATTTTTTATTTATTATTTTAATAAAAAATTACAAGAATATAATTATTTTGAATCATTTTATGAATGTATTGTAGTGGATCTCGCCGAAATACGACGAGACCACTTTCGCCCAAATAAGGTGAGTTTCTCTTGGAACTCACCCAAAAAAGGATAGACCAATTTTACTTAATTTGGCGAGATTCAGCACCATTCACGCTGTGACACGTGACATAAAAAATAATAATTTGATTGTAAAACTTCTAAAGGCTATATTTTTTGACTCGGATATCCAAATCAGATATTTGTTTTCATTTCATATAATTTTTCGATATCTACTCAATGACATCTCATTGAAGGAAATTTGTTCACAAATTATTTGGGTTTCTAACATCTACTATTTCACAGACGTAGATGTGTCGTTCGCGTTCAAAATTAATTGTGAAAAATTAAAATATTATATTTGTTTTCATATATTAGTTATACCATCAAGTCCTTTATGGGAATCTGTCAATTAAGATCCATTTTTCTTTATCTTCTTTTGTTACCATTAATCCATCTTTGTATGATTATGATTTTTCACATGATTTTTGGGTGGGAGAAAAAACAAAATGTGTCATTTGCATTCATAACTAATTGTAGAAAATCAAAATATTATATTTATTTCCATATATTAGTTATATCATCAATTCCCTTATTTATGAAAATCAATCAATTATGATCTGTTTTTTTTCTTTATTTTCCTTTATCACCCCAAGATTAACACCCCAAATAATTTGTGACCAAACCCCCTTAGATGAGATGTCATTGCGTAGATCTCGAAAAATTATATGGAATAATAAAAAGGGATAGGATATTGTAATAACCAAGTAGTGTTACTACCAATCAATTCCATCGTTAGATCAATAATGTTGGTCCAATCGTTATATTTATTTTCATTTTTGTATGGTTATGATTTCTCATATTTAATATTTTATATTTATTTCCACCTTTGTATGGTTATAAATATTCATATTTAATGGGAAATCATAACCATACAAAGATGAAAATAAATATAACCGTTGAATCAACATAATCGATTTAACGGTGAAATTGATTGGGAGTAACACTACTTGGTTGTTGCAACATCCTTCCCCTAATAAAAAAAGTACCTGATTTGTATACCTGAATTAAAAGTTATGGTTTTCCAAAATTTTACGGTTAAAATATTAATTTTTTTGTGCCATTGTCACCACATGAATGGTGCCGGGTATTGTTCAAATTAGGCGATAGTGGTCTCGCCTAAAAAATGTGAGTTTGCCAAAGGAAATTCGCCCAAATTGGGCGAGAGTAGTATCGCCTTATTTGGACTAGACTTATTGCAATTGATTTATAAAATGGTTCGAAACTAGTATGTTTTCGTAATTTTTTATTAAAAATAATAATTTATTAATTTTTTTGCAATCGATAACAAGTGCATCCTTGAGCTATTTTAATCCTGAAAGATGCAGTTGTTATCTTTCGCCGGACATGCATGCTCTCTTCCTAGCAGATTTCTGTGCAGTAAGTAAGACTAGAGATCTTAGTTAGTCTTCCTTTGTTTTCTGTAACAAAGGCTTAAAGGTCTCCCCAATAATGCTTCTCGTAGGATATAATTTTTAACCATTACAATTAACTTCCAATCTTAAAGTTCAAATAATCACTTTTAACCATTACAATTGGCATCCATTGGATAAGATAGATTTCTTTAAGTACTACTTTAAGATACTATTAGTATTTTTATTTGTCTATTCACAATCTTAATTGCTTATAATTTTAATTACCTAAATTTTCTTTCATCAATTTGTTTCTTCAATAAATCAATTAATTTCACTACTTACACCTACACTTTACACCTACACTTACTTATTAATACATTTAATATTATATCAATATAAACAGTTAAATGTTTATTAATGTAAATTAAAATACATAATATTATCACTAAGAAAATAAAAAAAAAAATTATATCTCATTGTCTCTTTTCTTTTCTTTTTTATTTATTAATTTTTTGTATAATTTATGAAATAAAAAATGTGTTATAATTCTAATTTTTGTTTTGAATAATAATAATCGAAATAGTTATAGATGAATTATTAAAATAAAGTTTGACATTAGATATAAAAATTATTAAATTCAAACAAACTAATGAACAAGATTTAGTGTAACACTATACCCTGTTTGATATACCAATTTCTAAATTTTACTGGTATCACGATAAACCTAACATTGTAGAGGGTAATTTACTCTTTCAATTTTTATCCCAATATCAGAAACGTTTTTATTCTAAAGAACATTAGAAACGCGTTTCTTTGGTTTTGGGTTTGGGAACGTTCACTGCAAATTCTCGAGCAGTGCCGTGGCGGCAACACTCGAAACACGCGTTTCTACGATGCTGAGCTTCAGGGTGAGGAACTTGTTGTCCCGTGTCAGAAGAAGGACAAAGAAAAACATCAGAAACAGAAACACGCGCAAGCTCAGAAACCAAAACTGCATTTCCATTGCAAAAGAGTTACCATGTCTTGTAGAAGAAGAAGAAGATACTGAGGAAGGTTTCAGAATCAAAAGCTCTGCACCATCACACAATCATGGAGTTCAGCCCTTGGGTAATCTTTATCTCAACCCAGGTTCCATCAACTCCAGAGACACGGGTTTAGGTAATCTTCATATACTTACGGATGAGCTTGTTCTTGAGATTCTAGGGTTTTTGGATGGTACCAGTTTGGGGGTTTTGGCCACTGCAAGCAAGTCTTTTTATGTTTTTACCAACCATGAACCCCTTTGGAAGAATCTTGTATTGGATAATCTTCTTGGTGGGTTTCGGTACAATGGGTCTTGGAAATCTACTTATGTTGCTTCTTGTTACCCTTCATTTCATATCTCGAGTAGTGCTCTTCAGAGTTTCAAAGTTAGAGACTTTTATTCTGATTATCTCTTTCAGAGTTGGCTCTGTGCTAATCTTGAAATGAAGCCCGAATGGCTGGAGAGGGATAATATAGTTCGAAAGAAAGGTATTTCAGTTGAAGAGTTTGTGTTGAATTTTGAGGAGCCTAATAAGCCGGTGTTGTTGGAAGGGTGTCTTGATAATTGGGATGCGTTGAGAAATTGGGATAGGGATTATTTGTTGCAGTTGTGTGGTGATGTTAAGTTTTCAGTTGGGCCAGTGGAGATGAAGCTTGGAGACTATTTTGGGTACTCGGATCAAGTTAGAGAAGAAAGACCATTGTATTTGTTTGATCCAAAATTTGTTGAAAAAGTTCCAAAATTGGGTTCTGAATATGAAGTTCCAGTATACTTTCAGGAGGACTTGTTTGTTGTTTTGGGCAATGAGAGACCTGATTACAGATGGATTATTATTGGACCAGCTGGGTCTGGATCATCATTCCATGTTGATCCAAATTCTACTTCTGCTTGGAATGCAGTGATCAAGGGGTCCAAGAAATGGGTATTATTTCCTCCTGATGTAATTCCACCTGGGGTTCATCCTAGTCCTGATGGTGCAGAGGTGGCATCTCCTGTTTCAATAATTGAATGGTTCATGAACTTTTATGGTGCAACGAAAATTTGGAAAAAGAAACCAATTGAGTGCATATGTAAAGCTGGGGAGGTTATATTTGTGCCTAATGGATGGTGGCATTTGGTGATCAACCTGGAGGAATCTATAGCCATAACCCAAAACTATGTTAGTAGGTGAGGTTCTTTATTGCTTTCTGTAGCTTTCAGAAGTTTGATTAATAAAATACTAATTATATGAGCTTCTGTGTGGTGATTTTCAATCCCTTGGAACTAATTGTTAAGGAGAGCTGGATAATACTATGGCAATCTCATTTGAGTCAGTTTCTGAATTGACTGGTGACGCTTTGTGGTAGTGATGAGAAGTTATATTTCTTGGTCTTCCAAGAATTAGTTCTAGTTTTTTCTTTAAAAAAATCCTTAGTAATTTAGTTAGGTACATGTTTAAATTTTGAACGGTATGATGGATTTACTAGTCAGTTCTTGTTCTGTAAGTAATCAAGTGCCTGATTTTAGTTGTATTTATTAGATTCCAAAACTTTAGAATCTTGAAGGAAGCAGATATTTCGATGGAAGAGCAGCATGACCCTGTGTGAAACATTTTGACCTGAATACTCATTGTTTGTTGTTGATTTTAAAACATCCTTTGGCATCTCAGAATTTGGCACTTTAGAGTATCATCCTTTGGGCTAGACATTTGAAAATTTATTTGGACCTGCATTGCGGTTATGAAGGGATAGTAAATGGTTATTGCCTCCCTTATTTTGTAATGACATGGGTCCATTTTCCATCTCTGCTCATTTTAATTTTCGGGATTGCAACTTACATGAATTGTCCTTTATATTTGGAAATGAGGGTGAGTGAGGAATTATCATATGTATGACTAAGTAGTGTAATGCACTGATTAGATGCTGGGTTATGGTCACCTGTGATGCTGGCTTGAACCCACCAAAATCAAAGAGCTGCTTCAAGGAATTACCTATATACTCCTGAAGGAAAGTTCATTTTTTTTCTTCCTTTAGCTAATTTTTAAAATAGATAAATTTCTTATTCAAACTATCATGACAACTGACCCACCCATGTTGTCTTCTGATATAATCATTAATAAGCAGATGAGCAAAATGCATATATCGTTAATACAAATTATTTCATTTGTGTATTTTGCTTGTGCATTTGATAATGTAATCTCAAATGTCGAATCATTTATTGCAGGAGAAATTTGTTAGATGTCTTAAATTTTCTTCAAAGGCCAAATGCTAGCACACTGGTATCAGGAACAAGGGATCGAGTGAATCTGTATGATAAGTTTAAGAATGCTATTGAGGCTTCTTTTCCAGGAACAATTGATGAACTGACCCAAAAAGAAGAAGAGAAAAAGATCCAGCAAAGGAAACTTTCCTTCTGGGATTCTGCCACAGATGCCAAGGTGGGAGCTTTCAAGTTCTCTTTCTAGAGAAATTCATACACAGGGACAACTGATATTGCTGGTCCACATTTCAGATAAATGATTAAAATCAATTTTGACATTTTTTTATCAGTTTTTCATTGATTGTACGCTTCCAAATTTTTTTAGGGATATCATTATTATGACAATCTTCCATTCTTAGGCTACCAATTGTTGTTTTATAAAAACAGTAAAACCATGGATTTCCACAGCATACACATAATTGATGGAGGGTGTCCATAGAAATGCGATGGAGAGAGCAAAATATTTGATGATTAACTCTAAATAGATGCGTTGTATAAAAATAATTAAAATAAATAAATGGGGTTCTCATACAACAAAGGTTTTCCCTGGAAACCGCTTAACAATTGTCACAAAAAAATTCCTTTGGGAAGCTCCCGAAGGCAGCTTTACACAATATGGTAAGAACATATAAAAAAGGGACACAGCTAAGAATAAAAGCTCCAAACGTTGAATAGCATGATTCTGATATAAACTCATTTTGTTGCTCTAGTTGCGTTATCGTTCAATAATAATGTATTTTTGTGCCGAAACACGAGTCTATGAAAATGACTAGCATCGGTGCTAGCAACTCAATTCTGAAAACGCTGAGGCTGAAGAATCCTAAGCTTGTGTTATTGGAGCAATGTTCCAATGTTTGGGACCTCAAGATTATCCATGCACATATGTTAAGAACCTATGTGTTCTTCGACGTGTTTGCGGCCAGTCGCATTGTTGCTTTCTGCGTAGACTCAACTAACTTACTTGATTACGCCACCGGGGTCTTATCCCAAATAGAGAATCCCAACCTCTTCATCTACAACGCGCTGATACGAGGTTGTTCCAACAGTGAAAACCCAGAAAATTCATTTCACTATTACAACCAAGCGCAACGCATTGGTCTCTTGCCTGATAATATCACTCACCCTTTTTTGGTTAAGGCATGTGCTCAGCTTGAGTCTGCAGCTATGGGCATACAAGCTCATTGTCAAATCATTAAGCATGGGTTTGAACAAGATTGTTATGCCCGAAACTCTCTTGTTCATATGTATGCTACTGTTGGGGATATGAAGGCTGCAAGGTGCATTTTTCAGAGGATTTATGGGTTTGATGTTGTCTCCTGGACTTGCATGATTGCGGGTTATCATAAATGTGGGGATGTTGAATCTGCGCGCCAACTGTTTGAAATTATGCCGGAGAAGAATTTGGTGACTTGGAGCACGATGATTAGCGGTTATGCCCGGAACAATCGTTTTGATAAAGCGGTTGATCTGTTTCGCGTTTTCCAGGCAGAAGGGATGGTGGCTAATGAAGCTGTCATGGTGGGTGTGATATCCTCTTGTGCTCATTTGGGGGCTCTTGCTATGGGGGAGAAAGCTCATGAGTATGTGATGAGAAATAACTTGACTTTGAATCTGATTCTTGGGACAGCTGTTGTTGACATGTATGCAAGATGTGGGAATGTTGAGAAAGCTATTCAGGTTTTTGAGCAACTGCCAGAAAAGGATGCACTTTGTTGGACAGCTTTGATTGCTGGACTAGCCATGCACGGATATGCAGAGAAAGCACTTGAGTGTTTTTCAGAAATGATGAAAACAGGGCTAGTTCCTAGAGACATTACATTTACTGCAGTGTTGACAGCTTGCAGCCATGGAGGACTGGTTGAAAGGGGTATGGAAATATTTGAAAGCATGAAAAGAGATCATGGGGTAGAACCAAGATTGGAGCATTATGGATGTGTGGTTGACCTACTTGGCCGTGCAGGGAAACTTGCTGAGGCAGAGAAATTTGTTCTTGAAATGCCTGTGAAGCCAAATGCTCCAATATGGGGAGCACTGCTAGGAGCTTGCAGGATTCACAGAAATGTTGAAGTTGGGGAAAGGGTGGGAAAGATTTTGATCCATATGCGACCAGAACATAGTGGTTATTATGTTCTGCTCTCTAATATATATGCTCGCACAAACAAGTGGAAAGATGTTACTATTATGAGACGAATGATGAAGGAAAAAGGAGTTAGAAAGCCACCTGGGTATAGTCTCATTGAGATAGATGGAAAAATTTATGAATTTACTATTGGAGATAAATCACACCCAGAAATAGAGAAAATAGAAAGAATGTGGGAAGATATACTCCAAAAAATAAAATTAGCAGGATATATTGGAAATACAGCTGAAGCATTGTTTGACATTGATGAAGAGGAAAAGGAAGATGCACTTCACAGGCATAGTGAGAAGCTGGCCATTGCATATGGAATTATGAAGGTTCGAGCCCCCACACCTATTCGGATTGTGAAAAACTTGCGTGTCTGTGAAGATTGTCACACAGCTACGAAGCTGGTTTCAAAGGTTTTCAAAGTAGAGTTGATTGTGAGAGATAGGAACCGATTCCATCATTTTAAAGAAGGCACGTGTTCTTGTATGGATTACTGGTAAAGTGGTACGTAACTTTTTATGGGGTTCAGGGTTTTGGAGGTACATGAAAATTAGTGATGCCCTAGACAAGTTGTGGACATAAATCTTGTTCTTTAAAACTCGTTTTATAAATCAAACAACAATAAACGTTTAAGATTCGTCAAATTCAACTTACAAAGCACGTTTGTCAGGATTGTCTTGTTCTGACGTGTAGAGTTCTAGGATTATTTTTCCGTTCTTGTTCAGACATTCTTTGTTAGGATTGTTTTGTGTAGACGTCCACGTTGTGATTCTGCATGCTTCGAAAGTAATCCTTGCCAATCCATGGCCACAATTATAGAATCTTTGCAGAGAATTTAATCCTTCCTACTCCGTTCACTAGTGTAAAGAGATATGATATAAAATAAAACTATTATGTACTTGCCACTAATAAATTAAGCTTTTGAAATTGTTGATGAAAGATTATCGAGTAAATCTTCTTTTGGGTACCTAATAAAAAATATGGTCTCCACTTTCATTTCTCACAAAAAAAAAAAAGTGAACTTTTGATCCATCTACAATTTCAATTCTTTGAAAATGTGATCTCTCATAAATTCAATGAAAATCTAATTTAGTTCCTAAAAAATGACTAATATGAGTATTATTTTTTTTGTAAGGCACGAAAATGAAAATCATATTTTTTGTTAGGGACCCAAAAAGGAATTTACTCTGGATTATATGAATCCTTAATTAGTTTAAAACTCATGATTTATTTACGGAAAAGGAGATATTAAGTACTCTTCAGGGAAGAAAATATCTCGTAGTCAATGTAAATGACAATTAATTATCCAAGTGTCCCTTGGGATACACCACCCCAAAAGCTAGCTCAAAGGGTGGAAGTGATCAAGGCCTTATAAACTCCACATTAGTTGCTCTTCAACCAATGTGAGACTATATATCTCAACAGTAAAGCCACATTATGTTTAGGTGGGGCCTTACATTTCAATAAATTTTATTTGTTATATAAAGTTATATAAGTAATTATAATTGGGTCCTAACTAAAATTGTAAGTTGGCCCTAGCTAAAATTGTAACAGACGAAGATTTGGAGTTGCTTTGTTTTTATGATCATGTAACAAATTGTTTTCTCCTTAATTTCTTCTTCTTCTTCTTTCATCTTTTTTCAATTAGCGTTTTCTTCTAACCTTTTTTTTCTTATTCGCACTCACCACCCGAAACTCAACCATTATGTGACAAGGTACATGTTTTGTTCCTTTCTCAAGATTTTAGGAATACATATTCTTGGAATATGCATTGGTAATTATATTGTCTGCTCGGGAAAAAATTGATTTATATTTTTGAACCTTGTAAAAGAAAATTTCTTTATTCTTGCTGACCATAATTATTTATTGGGTGTTTTTAACATGAGTGAAATTCATTCCCCTTTTTTTATTTATTATAACTTTTTTTTTGTACGGTTGTATTTATTTATTTTATTTTCTTTAAAATATGGAATTGAATTGTTTATTGGTGTTATTTGTATTTGATTTCACAACCGGAATGAGAATTTTGGCGATTAATCAATTAAAATTGTTAAAGAGAAAAATCAATGAAGATATATGTATATATATGGAGTATGAAAATTTCTTGTACATATTCATTAACAACTTCTTTGTTTTTTTAAAAAATTTAAAATATCTAAACACTAATTAAATGATTTATCTGGATCCAATGTCATTTAAATGATTTTAGACATTTGTTGCTGATTGTTCTATGTTTCTTTTTAATTGTGAAGTTTGTTGTCCCTCTACGTTGATGTTCTTCACAAGTCACGACTAGAGATATAAATGGGCCAAGTTAGACCAGGCTTTGGCTTTGATAGCCTAAGCCTATGTAAAATATTTAGAACCTATACTGACTTATTAACCTATTAAAGACTTGATTTATAGGTCTAGCCTGACCTATTATAAAAAAAACTAAAAAACTAAAAAATATAATTCGACTTATAGGGCCTACCAAGTTACAAATTAAAGTTTATAGGCCTCAAACCAAATTAAAATATAAAAGATAAAAAAAATATTCACAAAGATCACAAGAAATAAATTTTCATTAATATCACATGAAATAAATTTTCATTAATATCACATAAAATAATATTCATATAGATCACATGAAAATGTTTATAAAAATCACATGAAAATTTCATATATGTATATATGCATATAATTTGCACTTTCTTTAGTAATTTATTTTTATGTTATATTTTAAATTTTAAATTTTAAATAAATATTTATTATTTGTTAAAGTAACATCAATCTTATTACTTTAGTAATTTTTCTTCATAATAAATTTGTATAATTACAAAAAAAATTTGATAATTTAATATGTCAAATTTTTTAGCTCCAGATAAAATTAAACCCCAGCTCCGCGTGCCTAGAGACTAAAGATAGAATGGATTAGTAATCAATTTATTTCCTCTCAAATGAGGTTACAGCTTTTGTAATCCTGAACTAAGTGTTCAAAATGCAGCAATTGCTACAATTCACAATTGGCATTGATATTACATATTCTATTTTTGGGATACATCAGAGAAAAACAACAGACTACAGACTACACCACGTACAAAAGAAACCTACACCCACCCTGTCTTGGAAAAACAGGGTGGAACAATCCGAAACTTCCAGTTTCGGATCTAAAAATACAACATCATTGCTTTTCATTTTCTGGAGGGGGAAGCGAAAGATTAGCCATCATTGTGATGAAAATAAGTTACTTGTTCTGATATGATTATACAGGGGATAGAGATGCTGTATAAGAACCATCACAGTACTTCACGCCTTTTATTGAACTTGACCACAGGCAAGAGGCAACTACAGCTTCTGGAATGCCAAATGTACCACTAAAGTTTTGCAAGTTTTCACTACCTGCGGCTGTAGATTTCGACTTCTCACAAGTTGATTTTAAAGCAACATTCAAGCCAATTGAGCTAGGTTCCGTCACAAAACTGTATGTCACAAGATAGAAGTAAACATCATTTAGGTTTCAAATAACTGTACACGACGCAACTGGTATCAATTAGATGGTGCCAAGAAATCCATAACATCTCAACATGAATGCTCATGAAAATTCTACTTATTTAGTTGAGCCCTTGAGACTTAGAACAATTGGCAGGATGATAAAAACAATGAACCGCTCTCTATATGGAAGGATAAGCTCAATGCAGCAGAGAACGTAGTCGTATATAAGGGCGGGCAGGAGGAAAAATCTGGAATTCAAGATCATGCAAGTTCTAAAATTTTGTTTGGGATTATTTAAAACAATAATATGCAAAAATATAATTACACTGACCTCCCATGAAGTTAGAGCTTATTACACTCTACTTTTTATATAAAAAATTACACCAGCATCCCTTAATTTATGTACTTTACCATGTCCCTGAGAATTAAAGTAGGTATAATTTCTCAAACAAAAAAGTATTAGGTATAATAAGCACGAAGCTCAATGTAATTAATTATTCCTTTAATTGATTGGACCTGGAAATATACCTAAATTTTCTCCTTCACAAATTTAGAAAGCCTCATTACCATAGCTCAACCCATAAACAATGACTCCTACAACCCATTAGCCATAGATCCACATAACCGGCTCACCACAGGCTCCAGAGTTGAGACAAGTCCCAAACCATGGGAGACTCAGCCCGGATACGATGGTTCATCACCAAGTAGTACTCCTCTGATGTTAAATCAAGGTTACTTGGATTTGACATTTATACCCCAATTCTCCTCCATTATGCTGTTTGTGCCGGAACAAAGTCATAGAGAGCTAGGATTGACCAAGCCTAATTTTTTAAGGCAACTTTATATGAATAACTAAAGCGGCTAAATGGTATCGACTACATGAATTTTTTCAAATCTTAACAATTCAATTTTAACAATGTCACACGTATCCCCCCAAGCAAAGGCTACACATACCTTGCCTCAAAGCTTCTTCCTTCAGAGCCCATCAATGCACATATACCACAAATAATCCAAGGTGGAAGAATTGCATCCTTAATTTCAATGCTACAACAAAGGCCATCTGACGATCCTCGTGCAGACTCTCCATCTTTCCAAATAGACCCCTTATTAGATGCAGCAATATGTTCCGCTCTTCTCATCTCCATGCATTTAATCTGCGAAAGAAAAGTATATTGATTCCAATGTGTTATATAACAGCTAACAAATGAAAAATAAGTATTGTAGCTTTGGACAAATGAACAAAAAAAAATCTAATTTCCAAGCAATGGGTTCCTCTACATGGTTTTCTGGAAAATAACGATACATCGAAACTAATCCAGTGCACAGATTTGAAAATTTAAGCAACTTCAAACAATAATATTCACCACTCAACGATAAGAAACTTATGCGTTAATAGCATTTCTTGCTCAAGTAATCTAGGTAATAAAAGGATTGGGTACGGCAGTTCAGTAATTTACTTCAACTTCCGTTAAGACAAATTGCGGAAATACGGCATGGAAAGAATAAAAGGAAAGAAAATGATATAAAAAAATCTTATCACATACATCAGGAGAAGACAAAGAAGAATTTCGAAACGGCACAGGAGAGCACAAGACAGGTACGTCCATACCAGAAAGTAAGGTCAAGAGAGATCTGCAGAGTGCAGACAATAAAAATTAGTCAGCAACGAGATTAAAAATATAAGAGTAAACATCAAATAAGTCTAAGTGAATGAAGTATGAAAACTAGACAGGAAGCTACCAAGAAAATTAACCATTAGTTAGTCACCTGTAGTTTAGGAGAAGGTCAAATAAACCATGTACATTGTTGTTGCCACTGAAAACCAGCATAGACTCGGGACTATTATCTACGTCAGAGAACGACCTCAATCGTTGAGTCTGGCAATATTTAAAATAAAAAGTACCAATCAATAAAAGTTATATATATAAAACTTAAAAACGATATTGGAGCTAACTGATAAGCAGACTTTCAGAGCACCAGGCATGACATATACGCAAGGAACAATCGTCAATTAACCTACAGGCAAGAAATTTTTTAACACGATTGTCTAATATGTGTTATCACATAATTAAAAGAGTGGTAGGTCAATTAGTCAATCTCTTTTAAAGATGTACCAACACATAATTAGAGGACGGCATAAAAATATTTACATGGACAATAGGTCGAAATTAAACTCCAAATAGTTCACTTAATACTAACTGGAAGCCAAAAGAGAAGTATAGTTTCAGTATTCAGGATAGATTTATCAATTGAATCACAAAGAGATAAGAAAACTATGTCAGGAAATTGTTTATCATGAATTCATGATCATAGACAGATTAATACAGACATCCCCGGAAAAACAAATGCTATATAAATAGCATGCGGATACAAACCTGCCCCAAGTTCTGCCTCTCTATCTCTGAGAGCTCAACCAGATCCTCAGTAGCGACCTGCTCCACTTCAGAATGGCAAAGAGGCATCGAGAAACAAAGATCCTGATCAAAATAGCATACAACCGAAAAAAAAGTTGAGAGATCATCACCAATATAAAAATTAATAGGAAAATTCAAGTATAATAATCACACACAAAAAAATCTCATTGGAAGGAAGAAAAGGAAGCTCTGGTAAACAAGCAGCATACAAGAAAATTCTAAACAACTGTATAAGTACCAATAAATAAAAAGGACACATCATATACTATAGAACCATAATGATAGCCAACTTGTAAAAACTACATTTTGTGAAGTTAAAAATGCTGGTAATCAAAACCGTAGAACCAAGTCCAGTTACGTATATCGCTTGTTGAGTAGTTATTCTCCTTGCCATGACCTATTCCAAAAACAAACACTTGAATTGTTGGATGCTAGGATGAGACTACTACTCTTTGACAATAAATAAAAACCATTCTCCATTAAACTCCAACTAGCAAGGGTGTGGTTAGCATAATCCTCTACTCAGCATTACTCTTGCGTTATATTCAAAGATATTGTTTCCTAGATTCGGACCCGTGATTTTTCAATTATAAAGGAGCAATTTTACCACTATTCAAGGATCGCCCTCTTACTACTCTTTGACAATAAATAAGATAAAGAAATAAGATACGGTTAACCTAATAGTCATTTGCACCAAGAATTTCCTAGAAATATGCCATCAATGAAATATCATTCTTAGGCAAACAATACAGAAAAGAATAACCTCTGTGTGTGATACTAGTTGATTGGTTACCTAAAAGTAAACTACACACGTCATAATGCATAATATGAGTACAGCTTACATGCTCCCTTAACAATGATCTCAAACCTCTGGTTGACCGAGAGACATAGGCATTGCACGAGCATTTGGATCTCCTAGAGCCATCACCACCAGTGAACATCACCACAAACTGGGAAGTGCAAACTAGAAAACGAAGGGAAAAAATCAACATAAAGTTTCATCCAATATTCCTATATATTAAAATAAAAAATATTCCCCATGAAACCCTGACATGCAAGGGTAAGGGTGAGGAAAATCCATGTACAGTGCCTTATCTTTGCATTTTTACAAAGAGGTTATTTCCTATATTCGAACCAATGACCTTTCAGTCACATGAACAGCTTTACTACAGCTCCAAACTCAGCCCTCTTAACCAATATTCCTATATAAATAAAATATTCTTATAAAAGATAAGGCACAATGAAGCTAGCAGGTTCAAAGAATAGCAAAATTAAGTCCATGCATGAGCAGTACCAGAGGAAGCAACATACATAAAAGAGCAAGTGTATTTTGATCATGAAAATTATTCATTATGCAAAAACAATTCAAATTACATATCACAAGCAAGGAGAGTAATGAGAATCCAGAAGAACAGAAACAGCAACATAAAAAGGAGTAGCACAAAAATATTATTATGACCACTACAACTCCATCTGACAAAAAAATTGACTGTCGTGTATAATTACCATAAAAAAGGCCAGAGATGTTCTTCCGAAGCATGTAATAAAGGTCGTGGAAGGATTCTTCCCAAGCTACTTGTCGTTTCCTTAGGAATTCCAATTCTATTGCTTAAAAGTACAAAAATGGAAATTAAGGAAAATAGAAAAATGAAGAGGACAAAGAAGAGATTGAAAATGGAGTATGTTGAAAGCTGCTTGACAACCTCTATCTGCTGTTGATGAGCTCAAGACGGATATGAGAGAAGGTGGTAGAATGGATTGAGGATACATCCATGAATGCAAACCCAAGCCCTGGGAACCTCTCATATTTTGACTCTCCAAAGAACTGTGCTGGAAGGTTAATTGAGGCATGGTACCACGCATAAGTAACCTATGTATCCTGAAATTTGGAAATCAAAATAACTTTCACAAAAAGCAATAATGGACACCAAGGATAGCTGACACAGCAAGGTGGCAATAAAAAATCCGAAACAAATCACATAAATAGGTGCCACAACTACATAGGACATAGATAAATAGAAGAGTCTGGTTTTCTGTTCAACGTATCAATGTCTTGCAAAATCTGTTCAATGCAGACAACATAGAATTTTATGAGACAAAAAATAAATAAATAAAAAATGTAAGTTTGACATATCATGGTTAGACTAAGAAAACGAGGAATAAAATAAGCAGTTTATTACCTAGCTCGTTCAAATATTGAAAATATCAACATCAACATCATACCAAAGTAGAAACAAATTAAAGACAAATATGAGCACTATTTTTATCATATAAAGCTAGAAAAAAAGTCCAAGAAAAATACTTGTTATACTATACAGCATGCATGATAAATGCATTGGTTCTATCAACACTATATGTCACATCAATTGCCAACATTTTTCTTCTCAATTATGAAACTGGACTCACATCTTATTAGTCAGCGCAATAGTTTTGTATTCACCAAATAAGCATTTGGGTGTGACACAAACAAGAGCATGAGCACAGCATAACTGTCATGTTTACCAAGTTTTACCTGCCAGTGCATCTATCGAATATTGACAGAAATCCAATTAACTTGACTTAACAACATTCGGAAAGGACTTCATCAGACTCTATATCAGCATTAAGCATAAAATTAATTAATGTTCTTTGAACTATAGAGGCATTAAGGAAACCTAGAAAAACCTCACCCATACATAAACTATGAATCTCAGTGTAAAAGCTTTTTTAATTCACTTCAGTGCCTGCTATTCCTACCAGAATTGATACCAATATATTAGTCCATTCTATGCACTCACCAATTTACAGAAGAGGAGGTTGATACCCTCATGCTGGTTTTTAGAGTAAGATCCAAAGGAGCCTTCTGGCCAGGTATATTACATTCAGAGAACAAATTTCCTGTAAAGGTTGATGACAAATCTCCACATTTGTCAGACGAATCAGCAGCTAAACCTTTATCAACACATGGTTCAGGTGCAGCCAGTCCTCTTAATGCTTTGCCCTATAAAAAATTGAGCAATACGTTATTTATGATATAGACTACACTACAGGATCTGAAATGTAGGTAAACAGATAAGAAAAGGTCTGCCTCTGCCATTGCATACCATGTCAATAGCCGCTTCCAAGCCAGAAGTCCTATCAGCAGCTGATGAAAGCTCAGCAACACTAAGAAACTTTCCCTGGCTGCACTTTTCATTTGCTTGACAACCTTGCAATACATCATCCATTGCAACCTCACTTGACGCAATAGAATTCTCCAAGCTGACAATATATTAGGAACAAAATCAAAATAGGGAAAAACTAACCGTTAGATCAAAAAAATGCAAAAACTAAGAGGCAAACCTTGAAATCCCTTGAGGATTCTTAGCCTCCAAAGTAGATAAAACTGAAAGATTCTTCAGATTACTAGTTTCCTCCAAAGATGGATTTTCCTGAACAAAATAACAAGGTTACTTTGTTTAATCTCAACCATATTAACAACCTGGATTTGATAATTCAATGAAGAAGTCGACTGTGACTAAACCAAACACACAAGTAATAAGTAGGGCAAATATAATAACCTTCGCATTTTCCTTTCCAGATACAATTCTAAACCTCGACTTCTTGGCAGGAAATACTTCATCAACTCGAGTGTTAATGTATCTCGGAGTCGTTGACAATCGTGGTTTTTTAAACCTATTATTCACCTCAGTGCCTCTGCAAGCATAAATCAAGCAAATTTTCAGGAAATTCCGAAACAACGGATTGAAAGAGAAGCAAAGAAGCTTACTTTGTAGAACCAGGCAAGGGGAATGGAGATTCATCAGTGAGGTCCACGACACTTGTCCTCTTCAACTGCTCTCCCTGCCAAGTATGAATAGTTATGAGAATTTTCGCATCCACCACAATCAAATGCTAGTTGTCAATACGAAAAGAAAGAAATGATTATCGAAAACTCAAATTGAAACGACGCTGTATAAACGGAGGTGAGGAGTTTGGCAACTTACCCTAAGTTCGGATGGTGTCTTTTTTTTACCCATGGATCCACCTTTTAGAGGTCCTGAACCGATTCGATGAGAGCTAGGAGGAGGCCCAGAACTCTGTGTCGCTACTTTTGCCATGCCGTGTTTCCGAGCACCAGGTCCACCACCACCGCAAGTACTTTACCGATCAAACGACATCGTAGAGATTGATCTATAAGTTAAGTTTAGATTTAATAAGCGGGCACGGATCTGCAAGAGATTTCACGAAATCACAACTTGCACAATCAGAGAACACAGCAAATATAATGAATGCGAATATAAAGTCATAAATAATAATTATTGGTGGCGTGCATACTTTTCAAATTACAAGTGCCCTAGCAAGGCGACCGGTGTCGTATCAGTTTCACCGCACCAGAGCGAGTGAGTGAATGGGCCGAAGCGACACCAAGCGGAAATGGTGGTTTAAATAGATTTGATGTTCGAATCTATTTGAAATGAAATTTGATTTCCCTCCAGTTTATGACGCCATTCGTGACCGTTTCTACGTTTGAGATTTTGAAAAGTTATATTGGGCTGGCCCGGCTGGGGACATGGGCCGTGGGTTTTAAATTTTGTAATTCCGAGTTCCAAAACTGTATCTTCCTAATAGAGAAATCAGCTAGCGCGACTTTTTGAACCAAGTGATGTAAAATGTAAAATTCTTTGGATAAATTATTGGGAAAAGTTATATTTAGGGGTAATACATTCAAGTACATAGTATAATATATAAAATTTTGTAAGAAAAAAATTTATGAATACAAATATTCTTTAAATTATTTATTAATTTAATATGAGTGAAATGTGTGTATTTAAGTTGCGCATGTCGCGCATGGATGATGCACAGCTTAAATGCTTATACATCACATCGCATGAAAATGGTTAAAAAACCTGGCTATACAAAATCTAGCATCAAAACTTTGAAATCAACAGAAAGACATCTAGGCCCTATGCTACCAATAAAATCCTCTATTTGGTTCTCTTCCATGGTAGCAACGGTGCTACTCTTCTCTATTTTCTGACGGGTTTCCTTCATGCTGTTGAAACAGGGTTCCCAGTTAGCTGCTGAACGAGACCCAGAAATTCTTCGGGCCTGACGTGAATGATCTTAGGTGATATTAAATGTACTATAACCGGAGAACGATTTTGATGCGAAAGGTTCTGCTTATTGATCTTTATGGAGTTCCTGTTAATCACTAGAGCCGTAGGCTTTGGTCCCTGCAACTGCATGTACTTTCTTGCTTGGGAATCCATCTTTCTTGTACAATGTAAAAGAATTCACAAGCTACAGAAGATGCTGATGCTGCTGATAAGTTAATAACTGATGTACGGATAAATGGCAAGCTTACGGGTATATATATATATAGAGAGAGAGAGAGGTTTTACGCGGAGGTTAATTAATTAATTATGGTTTATGAGACTAAGTAATGGTGGGTTTTAGTTAAAAATAGACAAGCACTATGGTCTAGTCTGAATTCGTCTGCCCTGCATTATACAACATAGATATATAATATATTTTATGCTTTTAGGGAGCGTTTGATACAGTAGAAATTTTTATTTGTCCGAGAATCTCGATTTTTAAAAATATGATTTTTGCATTAAGTTTATGATAATATCTGAAAATTTAAAATTTAGAAAAATTCAGTTTCTCGAGAATCCCTCAAAATCCCGCATACCAAACGCCCCTTTAGACTTTAGATACCAGTATATATGGGGGTAAAATATTGCTGTCTTTTGTAGAATATTTGCCGGCTAATTAACTGTTTCGCTTGCCATGGAACTATCCTATTGTCAACATTTTTATTTTATTTTTTATATATTCCTATTGTCAACATTAGGTTGGGAATTTAGTAGTATATGTGACTCTGACAGTGATAGTCACGGTCAAAGTCTTCCTATGAGGACATTTTTTTTTCTTCTATTGGACGGTTTGCATTCAAATGTCGAGAAATGACCATTCAAAAAGCGTTGGCTCTCTCTTTCACTTTGAAATTTTAATCATCGATATATTATTAATTAAGTTTAACATCTTTTTGGCAAAGAGGTCCTGAAAAGTTTACGTATGACTTGTTTACATACTAAGTTAATAATTGATTTTATCCTTTTTTAAAAAGCAAATAATACAGTTATTTCGCGTGATACCCTGATATATATCTAGTTACTAGATATGTATCGCGTTCAATGACACGAAGAGCAGTTTATATATGGAGTGTTATTAAAATATTTCTTTTATTTTTTGATTGAGGTAGAAAATTGATGAGTGGCCAATAACACTGAAGGATTTTTTTCTATTTTTATTTTTAAAAAATTTAGTTGAGTCAACTTATTTAACCTGCCAATCCATTTAATCTATAAATCCGACTAGGTTGAGTCGGGTTGCCTATTATTTAACCAATTATGGGCATGTTTGGTGTGACGTGTAAGGCATGATAGTATAAGCTTATACTATACGTTATGATATTTTTAGTTGTTTGGTGTGACCACCGTATAGTATAAGCTTATACAGCATAATCCCTTAATACATCAAAACGATGTATAACTTAATCCGGCCTAAGGGTGAGGGATAAGACCTGATAAGAGATTGATGTATTAATATTGTTGACCAATGTAATTCTCAAAAATTAATATATTATTTTAATATTAATCTATTAAAATAAAAATTTATTTTTCAATATATTAATTTTTAAAATATTGAATATTTTTATTTTTATAAAAATTAATTTATATTATGGACACACTGATCAATAAATTTTTATAAAAATTAATATCATATGACATTTTTTGAAGAATTATATAAATTCTTTATTAAAGGATATTTTTATTAAAAATATTTATTTTTATCATACATAGTATTATACAGTGCATTACCAAATACTAGATGATATTATCTTATACAAATATATTATTTTATACAATACGGTGCCAAACGCTTGATAGTATTAAAATTCAATCAGGTCTTATACAATCAGGCCTTATATTATCAGGTCATATACTATCAGGTCTTATCCTATATTATGCACCAAACATGTCCTATATATTAAGGTGAACTAGGCGTGGTTGACTCATTTAGCCAATCCAATGAACTAGGTTAAGCCCAATTTGAGAACTCTACTCCTCCAAATATCTCCAATTGCATATGACCCATCATTGCTTATGTCTGCGCTATGTAGCACCGATATGACACGTGACACGACACGATACGATACTCCGACACGTCAATCCTAAAAAATTATAGATTTTGACACGTTGGGACACGTTTTAATATTAAATCATATTTTTAATTTATATAGTGTATATTTCATTTAATATTTAGTAATTTAACAAAAAAATGAAACTAAATTAATAATACCCATCAATACGTTATAAAGATGAAAGCTTTAATAAAAAAATAAGAACTGGGATGAGAGAGATATAATATCAGATAGAGAGATCAAATCATATTAGAGAGAGATCAGAGACAAGGAGATACAACAAGAGCGTGATAGGAATTGACAACAATGATGCTGAGATGATCTCTTATCTACTTAAGGGGGAAAAAGACAAAAAAATAAAATTGATATGATCAGGTGGAAGCTTTATTAATATATTTTAATTTTTTAAAAAAATAACTTTTTATAAAAAAGATTAAAAAACAAATTAAAAAAATTACGCAAATGACATTTGACCGTGTCGGAATGGTCAACGTGTCGGAAAAAGTTGACCGCGTGTCCGACACCGTGTCCGACACGACTCCCTGTTTTTACAAGTGTCTGTGCTTCCTTGTGTCTGCGTGTGTTGTTTTGTTGTGTTCTGATAAGGCCATATTATAGATGAGGTTGTGAGAAAGGAATAGCGTAACTCACGCTAGCTCAATATATATATATATATATATATATATATATATATATATATATATATATATATAAGAGGAATCTTTTGACTATAAAGTAAGACTTACAACTCTTACTCTCCATCTCAATCGTTGATTTTCGTCCATCTAACTATTATTATTTATTTGAAATAAATAATTAATTAATTGTTATAGATAACCGTTAGATGGACAGAAATCAACGGTTGAGATGAGGAGTAAGAGTTGTAAGTCTTACTCTAGAGTCAAAAGTTATCTCCCCATACGTATATATATATATATATATATATATATATATATATATATATATATATATATATATATAGGGTTTTATAAGAGTTATGTTGTAGGAAAAGTGATTGTGTTATGTTATAGAGATTTGTTTTGCGTGCCGAAGTTTTTTTTTTTTTTTTGCTGCGGGCCCCACAAAATGTTGTGTGTGTAGGAAAAATTTTGGGGTCATGTTAAATGATAGATGATAAACCCATATATATATATATATATATGGGATAGGATCATCTTATACCAGTGTAAGAATAATAAGTCTTACACCAAATCTTAACCATTGATTTTTTGCATCTAACGGTTAAGATTTATTATGTCTCACTTATTAATTAATTTTTAATTCCAATAAATTTCAACCATTAGATGCATGGAAATCAACGGTTAAGATTTGGTGTAAAATTTATTATTCTTACACCAGTGTAAGTTGATCCTATCCCTATATATATATATATATATATATATATATATATATATATATATAGGTAGGATCCTTTGACACCTCATCTGAGAGCCGTTAGATCAAAAAAGATCAACGACTCTGATTTGTAAGCATGTGACACTGTTGATCTTTTCTGA